TATAGCTTCCGGAATGGAGCCGTGTCTTGAATCAGCGATATGCCGACGTTTCGCAAACGTTGCAGTTTGCATCATCAAGGCTGAGAACTCTGATACATGAGCTCTGAGAGCCCTGATGATGCAAACTGCAACGTTTGCGAAACGTCGGCATATCGCTGATTCAAGACATGGCTCCATTCCGGAAGCTATATCTAGACATTGTATCAATGGCCGTGAAAGCCTCAAATCTAGTATTAAATTCTACTCACTTTGTACATAATATGCGAGCGTAGTATTACATTATTTTTTATATTTAAATTACATCGCTTGATGCTTAAAAATTTTCATGGAAACTTATACAATTTACATATAAAGGAGAATATCTATGAGCAAACTGAAAGTTCACTTGAAATATCTCACGTTTTGAGAATTCACCTTTCACGGTTAACGTTCGTCTCATTTATTAAATTTTCTCATATTATATTATTATATTATATTATAACTATAAATTTAAGTTGTATAATACTTATTAATGTGTTATATATTACATTGTGTATACATTTTATAATTACATTTTAATTTTAATAATCTATATTTACTTTTATCTATAATATATTACATAAATATTGCTTTCCACATTTTCATTGTTCACTTTTCATGTGAAATAACTTATAATAAAAAGTGAAAAATAAAAATGAAGTTTACGTGAAAGATTCATGATCGCTATCCTGGCAACATACCTCTTGTCCACAACCTTGCTCTAATCTTTAAACCGTAATAAATTGACCAACCACAGTCGATTATTTTAAAAATAATGAACTGTAGTTGATCAATTTTTTATGCTTAAGAATTAAAGCAAGGGTTACCCTTGTAGACAAGGGGACATACCCCTTATCCATAACCTTGATTTATGGCTCCTGCACACAGGACATGGTAATGTTTGCCGCACGGCGGAAGTCCGCGCGACAGCCAATCAATATGTTGTTTTTCCGTAAGGGCTAGAAGGTTATTACGGAAAGCAGCATATTGATTGGCTGTTGCGCGAACTTCCGCCGCGCAGCAAGCATTACCGCGTCCTGTATGCAGAAGCCATTACGAAAAGTGTGTGTGGTCAGCTTTAACGATAGATCAGTCAGATTACGTTACAGTAGTACGACCCAACGGTAAATCAGCCATCGGACTTTATTTGACAGTATCGAATGCTTAATTTAATTTTCAGATAGTTATTAATACTCAACGACAGTGAAAATTAATTATTTTCTTATTTATTTTTCAGCAGCATCACCGAACAATAAATAAAAAATTCATCGATTATCATTCATCGTTAGTAACCTATAGTCGTAGTTACGTAAAGTAAAGGAGTCTCTTCTGCTCTTATAGAGTGATTGAAAATATAAAAAATTGACGTCTATAGAATCTTCAATATTTGCGGTATGTGATATTTGTATGTGTATTCTTTGTTATACGCAGAAAAAATCACAATCGTCTATTACATATAATGCAACATTCTATAGAATGCGAGAAAGGTTATGTTTACTCATCAGAAGAAATTAATTAAAGAATTACCCACTGTGTCACATTGATTATTATGTTATACATTCGGACTCTTCAACGCTGTTTTTTTCAGGTGCATCATGCTGGACTTTGATAACGTAAAGGACATTGGGTCCAAGTATAGGGCACCACTCATAAAGACCCCTGTTACAGATTTATTTATGCAATCACGCAATTTGCAGTTTACGAGCTGCGCACCTTACGAGTTAATGTATATCGATTGTATGGAAGCTTACGGCTATCATCAAGGCAATAAGAAATGCAGAATGATAATGAACGACATGTATGAGTGTGTATTCAGAGTAAAGAGAATGATGCGTGTTTTTGCAATGCATCATGAAAGAGATCGTCAATTCAGAAATGGTGAGAGAAAGGAGCATTATCCACCAGGACCACCTCTCGATATGTATTAAACAATTGTCTTGGCAGAGATGTATAGTTCACAAGTAATATTGGAAATTCTGTAAGAAGTTTGGTCATTTGAATAGACAATAAGTGAATCTTACTATCTGCAGAGAACTTGTTGCTTTAAGCTTGACAAATATATCGCTCTGTGTTCTCCTGAAAAAGTTTTGTTAATTAAACTAAAAGAGTTTAATTAAGGTTGTTATTTCTATAAATTTGGGTAATATATAAATTATTCCTTTCCTCTCCTCTCCTCTCAACAGGATTATGTGTTTTTGTATATTTTAAAATTAAATTATTATTGATTATTATTGTAATTAATAAAATTTGAAAATATACATCAATCAGATCCAAGAACTTACTGAGTGTTTAGTAAGCAGTATAGTATTGAATATACACATCCATTTTGAAACAACTGGTTAAGTTTATCTTAGCATTCTGACTGTGCTCTCTCTCTCTCTCTCATTTTGAATCATTTTATCTTTATATTTTTTGCTAGGAAGCAATTGTAATAAGTAATTATAATCACAATGTATATGCATAAAAATCAACCAATTATAAATTTTGCAGTAAAAAAATATCTTGCATTAAACGTACGATTGATCAAAGATAAGATCCATTTAGCGCTGCAAGTGCTTCAGAGCAGAGGATTGACCAATCATATTGTTCCATTTGACACTTCGAAGCATTTGCAATGTCGAACGGAACATGCCTTAAATTCCTTGTGCATATGCGTTATGCAAATTTGTATGGATATAGATTTTAGCTGTTAGCTTACAAAGAGACTGGAAAAATCGATCCGAAGTCAATGAGATAACGATACCTCTAGGATCGTCTCGAATCATTTTTGGAATTTCAAAGCGCGCTCAAGTTTTGTTAAAAAGACGTGCGAAAACTTGTGAAAAATGAAAAGTTTTACTGAATTCGCCAATAAAAGGTTTCATTTTTATTTTTTATTGTAGGCGACCCTTTATAATTCAAAATGGAAAATTCTCTTTATCGATAATAACGTTCGGTGCTCACAGATGGCGGGAGAAGCATCTTCGATAATCGTGAATTCTCCGTGTTACGTGTGCCCGTATCTTCTCCTGTGAATTCGGAGATCGTCGGGCAGACTTTCGAAGGGAATTTTCGTGGAGTTATTTTCAAAATTTGCCTGGTGAGTCGATTCGTCTACATGAAGAGTTCTTGCATGTCAGTATTGAGCAAACCATTGTGCTTTTCTATCATCAGCATAACTACTGTGAGAACATGAGCTGAGGATTCACCTGTGCGCATTCTCGGGACAAGTTCTTTCTGTGATTATGTAAATGGAACAATATTGTGCCCCGTGTTGAAAATTGCCGAAGTTACATTGCTACATTGTGCTGCCGGACTTGACGTAATTCCACCGTGATCCTGTCAAGTCGATTACACAGAATACTTCATTGTATATTTCGCAATTTCACTTAAAAAGCCTTTGAATTGAACAAACTGACAGAGATATATTTATTTAAACGTGGAAGATGTATGACATATTAAATGTTCTCTTTTATACTTTCCTGTATTGTATCTGTTTTTATTATTGCACTTGCTGTTATCATTAACAATATCACTCATCAATAAATTATTGTCACATAATCACTCGTGTGGAATATTAGAATTCTATAAAATTCATTGATGTATTCTCTCATATGTATAGGCTTACAGTCATTATTATGAGGTCTACAAGAAGGAAACTTGACATAAAAGAATGATATATTTCTTCAATTACTTACAAAGTAACAAACAGAAAATTAGACATTTATGTTGCAGAATTATTTTGAAGAATTTTGGGGAAGCCATGTAAAATATTAAGAGACTGATTTATTTAAAAATATATTCAAACTAATTTCTCTGTAGTGGTAATGTAGACAATAATCATACTTACTTCAAACTAAAACTTACAGAGATCAGACTTCCAGCAATGTTCTGCAACCAAATGAAACGTTACATTAGAATTCTGTGAAATAAATTGGTATGTTTCCGTGTAGACTTACGATCATTACTATGAAATCTACAAGAAGGAAACTTGATATAAAAGAATATTATATTTTTTTAACCTTGCATTATCCTCATTTGGCTGATGAACATTAGTGCTCTCGTATGAGCGAAATGTTGCGTCTGTTATTAAGTTTAAATGAAAATTTGATTATTACTGTATTAATATAGCTTCATAAGAACAAATAGATGTATTATAACACTAGTTTATTATTGATCCATCAGAGTAAAGCTTAAATTTGGTAATAGCATGCATTAACCTCATAACTCTTACTATAAATATATGTTAACATTTTCAGAGTCTATTAATGAAAATTATACCAATAAAATTAAAAAAACTATATAAATATGACTTAAAAAATTGTATATGAAAAGCCAGAAAGTTTTAAAGCTATGAAACTACTTTTACATAATTAGAAGATAAAATCTCAATTAAACACTTGTCTCATATGAAAGCAATAGAAGGTTAATGTATATTAGTAAAAATTATACTAACAAAATTAAGAAAATAACTATACAAATATGATATATCTAAAAGATTGTAAGTAAAAAATCAGAAAGGTTTAAAGCTAAAACAGCTACCTTTATATAAAGAAAATAAAATTTCAACTGATATTGCATTTGCCTCATTTGAGGACAATAGAATGTTAATTACTTACAAAATGACAAAAAGAAAATTAAACATTTGTAAAGAATATTGAGAAAGTCATAAAATATTAAGAGATTGACATATCTAAAAAGAAATACAACTAATTTTTAATAATGTGTAAATACAAATGACAGTACAACTAACTCCAAACTGAAACTTGCAGAGATTGGGTCTCCAACAATGTTCCGCAACCACATACCCTCGATTCTACGGTTAGCTGCCCAGGAGCAACAATGGCAGCAACAACAGAGGGGTATGGCCACCCTCAAGGCTATCTCCATACGTCTTAAGTCAGTGAAGAATATCCAAAAGATCACACAATCCATGAAGATGGTGTCAGCAGCCAAGTATAATCGCGCGGAGCGCGACTTGAAGCAGGCTCGACCACTCGGCGTGGGCACGAAAATATTCTACGAGCAGGCCGAGATCCAGGCGCCCGCGGAAGAACCGAAGAAGCTCGTGATTGCTGTGACCAGCGACCGTGGCTTATGCGGCGCCGTACACACTGGCGTGTCCCGCAACATTCGCGACCGGTTGCTGGCCGACCCTAAGGAACGCGAGAACACGAAGATCATATGCATCGGTGAGAAGTCCCGGGCGATTCTTTCACGCCTGTTCTCCAACAATATCCTGTTCGTCGCATCCGAAGTGGGCCGTAAGCCTCCGACGTTCAACGATGCAGCCAAGATAGCCATAGAGGTCATGAACAGCGGGTACGTTCCACTCGACTGTCGTTGCGACTGATATCCGTGACCGTCCGAAAATTTCGATCCAAACGCACTAGATAGTACGAATAACTATCGAGTTACACAAATCCGCTCATAAATCGCGATCGCGATCACTATGAGTTTTTACAGATCCCTGTAAGTTGATTTTAACCTTTGCCTTTGCCAATATTAGATTCTATTTCGTTCAGCACTCGACTAATCTTTCTGTTTAATAGAAAGAACAAGAACCTATGCACAGTTATTACAATGCGATGAAAGAAAGACTACAATAGCTGTATATACATTCTTATTGGCCAATTTTCTTTCTGTTTGATTGAATATCTACAGAACCTTTAATTATTCGTTTATTTTTGTGTGTCTTTAGTAGTTCAGTTCTTTTTTAATTCAGCAACATTTTGTAATATATACACAGTGATGCTGCAAGTTAAAATAAAAAGGAAAATTAGCCAATTTTCCTTCCATTCAATTGAACATCTACAGAATCTTTAATTATTCATTTTTTTCTCTATCTTTTATTTACTTCTTTTTTTAATTTAGCAATGTTCTCATAACACAATAATATTACAACTTAAAATCAAACATAAGAAAATTTAGCCAATAAAAAACTGTGCACAATTATTATAGTGTGATCAAAGAAACATAAATATATGAAATATATGAAATTCTATAATATCTGTGCATAAGTTCTTAATTTTCCTTCAGAATCTTTAATTATTCATTTATTTTTCTGATTCGTACCCCCTTTTTGGTTCAGCGTATCATAACGGCGATACTGCAAGTTACCTGTTCGCATTTTCTCCTTTGCAGTTACTCCTTCGGCTCCGGACGTATAGTTTACAACAGATTCAAATCTGTGGTGTCGTACGCGATCGACGACCTGCCGTTGTTCGACAAGAACGCCGTGGTCACCGCACCGAAGCTGTCGATATACGATTCCCTCGACGACGATGTGATACAGAACTACTTGGAGTTCTCGCTCGCTTCATTGTTGTTTTATTCGATGAAGGAGGGTGCCTGTAGCGAACAGTCCAGCCGTATGACCGCGATGGACAACGCCAGCAAGAACGCCGGTGAAATGATCGACAAGCTCACACTCACCTTCAACCGTACTCGGCAAGCCGTGATTACCAGAGAATTGATCGAGATTATCTCTGGTGCCGCCGCTTTGGATTAAGAACGTCGCACGTGGATATTAGTCTCTCAATTTATAGCGCCGGCAGATGGAACGAGAACATGTTACGCCGGGAAAATAAACGAGGAAACGAAAACGGACGCACAGAGTCCGTTATACTGCCGAAAGATGCAATTTCTGATCAACTTGGACGGAGCTCAACAATCCGCTGATACGACCTCTAAAAATTGCTGTACCATTCGTTATTTTTATGTCCAAGTTCAATAAATAGATCGAATTACAAAACTTTCGTATTTCCATTGAGACGGCAATATCCTTATTTCGGGTGCGATGAATCCCTCGTTTCTTAATTAACATATGGCGCTAATTGTCCATAATAAAAGTATCTTGTAATTAATAAATTCAAGTTTCTAGTCAAGTGTCGGGAAATTTGATCGGATTTTTTCACTAAGGCAAATATTCCGCTGACAGCTTGAGATTTTACATTTAAAATTTTTTTTGTTTTCGTCACACACACATTGAGTAATACTCCAATTTTGTTTTGCACACGCTTTCATTATGTAAAAGCATTTGTAATTCTATATATACAACCAATACAACGTAAACTTTGACAAAAAAATATGAGCATTCTGTCGGTAAAGTTTTCAGTCTCAGTATCTCCATAAAGCCGCTGAATGTTATTTATAATTGAGAAAATAGATGTCAGAAAATAGATGATTTGAATTTCGGCCAAGCGGTTTTTAGTTCCGAAATCTCTGCTACGAGTCGCCACTGTTTTCAAGGAGAAACCGAGCGCGTAGTAAGACGCAGCGATTGATCAGAAGCCCTTTTATTTTCGAGCTATACAGAACAACAAATTAAACACATTTTTACTCTTCTGCCATATATTAAATTAAGACTTTTTATTTATAATTAAATTAACGAAATAAAGAATCTCGATAATAAATCAGAAATTTCCTTGTCAGATAGACGATTCAGAAGCTGGTTAAGTAACCGAAACCACTCGAAATTTTTCCTTCCTTCCTTCAATATTTGGCTAGAGGCGTATCAGTGACTACTCGAAATTTTTGGTCTGTTCTTTTCGGCTGCACTGCTGAACTGGTGCAATAAGTTAGAGTGAGAAAAAATATATTTGTCTCACTCTAACTTATTGCACCAGTTCAGCAGTGCAGCCGAAAAGAACAGACCATTTGTCTCAAGTAGTAATGTTCCATGACACAACACTGTCAGTAGTTCCTTCATAGATCCTGCCGTTAACAACGATACAAAAATTAGTTGTTATAAAAGAGTTACGATGTCACAAGGAAGAGGTGAGTCACTAATGCGATTTATCACATTCATGTTTTGTCATGTTATGCCGTGCCTTAAGTGTCACTTCATCTACCGGCGCATATATAAATGTGACAACTGTGTGTGCAGCTGCGTGTAACAATTATCAGATTCACATTCACAACCGTTATATATTGCCACATTAACATTATACTACTCTAAACTATACTTTCTAAGAGTGTAAACAAGTTAACCTCAAAATGTCAAAAGTTAAGAATTCGTCAGAAGCTGCCGTGTTGAACAGTTGAATTTTAACCTATAACTTTTTTTTGTTTGGATGTATCATCGGTGTGAAATCGGAAAGATTTAGGACAGATAATAATTAGAGAGGATTAATATGTTTGGAAAAATATAGAAACAGCTGCCATGAAGTCATTTTATCCCGAAGAAAGAAGTTGCGTTCAGCAAACACAATAAGGACCGTATTCGAACGCTAAGTGTACCCATTTATCCCATGATTAGTTTTTCTTATATGAGCATCCCAATAAGATTTTTCAATTGGAGAATCGGAAAGATGTGCTTAACATTCGAATACGCATGAAGAATACGGTCCTCGTTGTCTAACCGTTGAGTAAAAGTCGTTTCTGATTGGTCTATACTTTTAGATCTATCAATCATATCTATCTTCCATAAAGACCACATTTTTTGCGCGTATTTGAACGCTAAGTACGCCCGTTTTAGCTTGAGAATCAGAAAGGCGTACTAGCGTTGAAATACACGTGAAGAATATCAAAAGCTTCAAAAGTTGAACTCACGCAATCTTTGTGTTCACTGAACGCGGCGAATATTGCTAAAACATCAAAAAAGGAAAAAGAAAAAGTTAAAAGTTTATTAAACAAAATGAGTAAAAACACAACTAGTAAGAAGTGATATAACTGGTAGAAAATAAAAACTAATTTTAACTAATCTTTGATGCTCATGAAGCTTGGATCTTGTTTGTTTTGTGTAAAAAGAAAATAGAAATAGTGTAGAAATTATGTATAGAAATATGTGGATATTTAATTGCCCATTGGTAAAACAAAAACTTAAAAATTATAATTTTGTAAATTGGATCAGTCATAATTATGGCCAGTTAAACTTGCAAGACATCTCGTTTTGCAGGAAGCAAAAAACACCGTGGACATCATTCTAACAAGGACAAGATCAACATCGGTGACAAAGGCAAGGAGGTTTTGGAGAACATTGATGAGAGCAACCCAGTGATCCAGCAGTTCCGTGTTTATGCGGCCAGTTTGGACGAAAAGCATGATCGTTACGAGAGCATCATCAAGATCAATCGTGACATCACCATCGAGAGCAAGAGGATCATCTTCTTGCTGCACACCATCGATAAGGAAAGCAAACGAGATGTCGTACTGGCGGCGGCCAAGTCGAGGCTCGACGCCGTTGCGAGAAGATTATTCCGCGATATCGCGCACGAATTGGACGGTCAAGACGCGTATCAGTTCCACAAGGCCTACCGCGCCGGCATGGAAGAATACGTGGAGGCGCTGACATTTTACGAGTACCTGGAGAATGGTGGCTGCACGCACGATTGGACCAAGCTGGAGGAAACTTTAACTTACCATACAAAACCACCTGAATCGTCTGAGCCGTCGGAGTCACCTGATGATCCAGAAAAGGAGTCTTCTATGAAAATCACACGCGTGCTGGTTACACCAACCGATTACATAATGGGAATGGCCGATCTGACCGGAGAGCTAATGCGGAGGTGCATTAACAACTTAGCAATAGGTGATATAACCAGTTGCTATCACACGTGCAACTTTGTCAGGCACATGTACGTCGCCTTCTTGGGCTACACGAGCGCGTGCAGCAGTGAGATACACAAGAAAGTCTTCACTCTCAAGCAGAGCTTGGCTAAAATGGAGAAAACCTGTTATACCATCAAGGTACGAGGATCAGAGGTGCCGAAACATATGTTGGCTGACGTGGCTATTCGTGGGGCAGCTGAAGAGTATAATACAGAAGATGACGAGGGATATCAGGCATTCTAATACATGGCAGTCAATCTGATCGAACCAAATTTTTTGTTTGTAATATGTGGGAGTAAATTTGATGGGCAAAATTTCTTTTTTTATGTAAGAGTGAATTTTGTAGACATAATTTTTTTGTTTGAATTATCTTGACTTGTCAGTGCAATGTCAGGTGTAAACAGACAGCATAATATTAATATATTTGCAACGAACTTTGCTGGAAACAGGCAAAGGACAGAGGGAGAAAGACCCTAAAAAGACAACAGCGGTTGTGATATACAATATAATATAATATATAATTAATGCTTTTATATTTTTCTGTTTAAAGATTAAGCGAATAAGTTGCAGGTACATACATTAGTTCAAATACAAAAATAAATATTTCTTAAGAAAATAAATCTGTATTAAACTACTAAAGATAGACTCATCTCATTTCTACGCTTTCGATCATATAACGATCAATGACGGCGAAAGCAAGAAAGTTATTTTCGTTAGCCAGTCGTGCCGTCCTCCCACTCGCTCCTGCTGTCCTCCGAGTCGCTCTTCGTGTCTGAGCTGTCTGTGTAAAAAGATGGCTCGTAATCAGACTCGTCGACGGATTCTACAGACGACGCGTCTGTCTCGGTGTCCGCAACCGGTTGCCCAGAGGCGGCAGTTCTGCAGAGACGGCGAGGCACGTTTGTGTGTTTGAATTGCGCTTTGTGCTGTGGATTTTTTCGGTAACACTTCACGCCGTACGGACACTCCTCCCGATCGTCCACTTTGTCGTAATCGGCATCACCAGGATGACTGTAGTTATTCTTGTGGTTGGGATTCTTCCTGCGCGAATTAATCAAATTGCATTTCTTGCCAGAATTGTTTCCCGAGCAGCAGAAACTTCTAAAGGACGCCTAAAACTCGTCCGAAAAAGTGGGATGTCTTACGACTGTTTCGACGCATCTTACAAGCATACTCGAGTGATCTAGTATTCTTTCATATCTTTTGATTTGGAAATGGCACGCAAAAATTTCTGGCGTGCGTTTTCTCATTTATGACATCAATTTAGGGTTCCGCAGCAGTCGGACTCTTAAGACATCCTTCAGAAATTTCTGTGTTTGTACTTTGACGAACTCATTAATGACATTAATAGGAGAGTAGATTGGACGCTTTGCTCACCGGTAACATCGAGCACCGTACTTGCATTTCTCCCTCTTGGGAACTTCAGGATTCTCGTGATTCGAGACACTCGCTTGATTTCGATGCGAAGCAACAGGCGATCGGGATTTGTCTTTAATTGGCGGAGCTGCTTCGACCTGATCGCTCGAGTGAGCATCGTGATCCCACTTGGTTTTCTCCTCTGATTTGGTACTTGTTGCAACTTTATTCATCAAGTTGATGTTCTTCTTTTCCTGCTTCGTATTGCTTTCACACTCAGTGGAAGATTCAGCTACATCTTGGGGATCTGACGACATTTTGGAGCATGTGGCAGATATGTCGTTTCCCTCAAGGCAGCTGAAATTCGAACACAAGAGGATACACAGTGACAACAACTAATGTAATTAGGAATGTTCTTTTTAATTCAATTAGTGCTACACTAGAACTCTATTTCTTCTCCCTTCAATGCTTGATCACATAATTCTTTAAAGGCAATCTAGTTCAGTAAAAAGAACAAACCTTTTGTTATTAGTTAGTTTTGCACAATTGCACTTGCAACTAGGGTCAAACCTTGAGGAGTAGATTTCCTGCAAGATTGGCACAGATGCATCGCACTCATTGTTTCCATTAATGGTAGGATTTGAATACTCAGCTGGAGATTTCCTACCATTGAGGAAATCATTTAAAGTTTCAGCAGGAGATACAGCAGCTTCCTGTTCACTGAACGACAGGCACACTTTCTTAACCTCTACTTCATCGTTTGAATCTTCGTCAATCTGAAATATAAGGGACCCTAATGTTTCTTGGAACATCTTTCCACAATATTTACACATCACAACAATAGTCATCATACTTTTCTCTTTAACGTCTGATCGTTCTTTTCCATCGTTTCTGGCACAGAGATGATCTTAAACCAACATTTGTCAGGCAGCAAAGAGCATACGTCACCTGGCTTTATCGGTGTGCTGCTTCCCAATTTAAGAGACTGCCATCGTATGCATCCAGAGATTTTCATGTAACATGGCACCATCTGATATTGGAAAATATAGAAAACTGATGCCGTCGGTTTGCGACATGTCATGATATGGAGATATTGTCATACGCTTGAAAAATAAAGGAGTTCACGTGATTCACATGATTACAGGTTCACGCGTTATTCGTACGATTATTACAAGACACTGTTGAATGTGTTGCGAATCAAGTTCCTTACAGAAGAGAAAAAGAGACAGATTGACAAGTGTTGCACAAGCGAAACCAAGCGAAGCGAAACGAAAGACCTTACCGGAGTAATCGTCATTTCATCATCAGGTGACAGATTGATGATCAGGGCGTGTTTAAACACTTGCTCGTCGTTGCTCTGTGATAACAATAAAAGTCATCGCCAAGAATATTATCATATATATGCGACAATCAAGTCTCCGATGCTGTCACATACATCGACCCAAGATTGCTTCGCATTTTCTCGTCGGTGTCACGAGTGTTGTACCGCATGAATGGACAGATTTATTTTTTTTTTTTTGGTTGCACTTTCTACACTCGACTACTCTCTCACGTTCTCTAACTCGAATATTCGTATTCAGCCATCTCACTTTAAATGCAGAAAATGCAGCGGAAGTGAGCACATTCATAAGCGCGCGATACTGACGGACTTAGCATGAGCAACTACACGTTATTAGCGGGAAATTTAAAGCGTCGACTGTTACGCAATTTTCATTATTTCACGAAGTAATTGAAGTTTAGTAATTGAAGTAATTGAAGCTTAAATCATCGAAAGCACAGCAAATAAATGCAACTCACGACGCATACATCCATTAGCCAGTTTTATCGATTCTCCGTTGGCTATATATATATTATTTGTTATAATTGGTTGCGTTTTATAAGTAAATTAATGAGACACAGTTCCTAGATAGCACAAGGAATTAAAAAAGAATTCAAAAAGAATTCAGTCGTATGTCACCAATTCTGAGTTCATTTTCAGATGCAAAAGAATTCTTCAGAATTCAGTTTAGTGAAAAGAATTCTTTTTGCACTCAAAAATAAACTTAGAATTGGTGACATATGACTGAATTCTTTTTGAATTCTCTGTGCTATCTGGGTTGCGAACGTTTCTACTTTCAACAAACGGAGATATTATCGAATGGAAATGTTATCTTTTACGGAATAACAGAATATATTATTATTAATATTATTATGAATAGTAAATTTTTATTGGATTGTAATAAATCTCTTTTCGACGCAATGGGAGCGACAGAACCGCGTACTCACTCCCGTCGCGGCGCCTCGACCGATGATGTTGTTGCCGATCTGCAAATTCGCCTTTTGCACCAGATTATGATCCACCCGCACTATCTGCAATGTCTTCTTCATAATGAATTTTCCGGTGAAGTTAACGTGTGACGAGATATGCCAGACATGTCGAAAACTGTCAGCGAAAAAATTGTTGCCTTTTTCAGAGAACGGAATGCGGCAAGCTTCCGACAGGTCTCCGCGCACCTCGGACGCAGTTGGCCGCAAAATGGAATTGCGAAAAAATTGACGTTATTCGTTACGTATAACGATCGCAAATTTTGAAAATCAACCCAGAGCATAAATTTCTAATAGATGTCTCGAAGACGTCTAAAAGAAACAAGATCCTGAGATTTTCGTCTTGTTCCTGAAAACAGCGTCCTTGAGATCTTTCAATAGTTTCAATCGTCCTGTCTTGAAATAATCGAATTTTGAAAATCAACCGATCATCCCACGAAACAAACGGTACTCATTCAATCCCACCTTAACCCTTTAAATATCACTGATACCAAGGATACCAGTATTAGGATCGGGCAGTTGAAACCTTATAAATGTGCTATTTAGAGTGTTTTTGACAATATTTCATTACAAAAAAGTTACTAGAATGTTCCATGAATTATGCGCCTTAAAGGGTTAACGCGGGTAAAACTGCTCTCCTAGGGAAGGAGGGAGGGTGAAATATACGCAGACGTTTAACAATGAAATGTCTTTTTCATTTACAATTACAAAGAATGTACACGCTTATAAACAAACAAAGAGAAATGCGCCGAGAAGTACAGTACAGATCTGACGCGATGCCATAAAGCTCTTTGCATGGAAAGGTTCTCATAAAAAATTGCCAGAGAAACGCTAGACTCATTTACTTGTTCGGTGAGTGAGGATGTAATACAGCTGGACCAGACCCGACAGCCGCGAATCGTCGCTATTATCATTATTATTCGAATATATTATATTCGAATTAATCGCCCCTCCCCCCCTCTTTCTCTCTCGCGTGCGCGCGAGAGTTATGCAGCCCGCGTGTCTACCGGGTGATCGCCTGTCTCCCAGACAATCGATAATACGTAATTTGCGTCGACCGATTATTGTTATGCAATGCCAGTTAGTCTCATTACGTTTGTACAATACCTTGAGACTAGAACGACAACCGAAATCATTCCCGTAGTCATGAAAGCGGAAGGAAGTGTCCCTCTATTTCCAAACCGTCAAATGACTGGTTGCTCCGAGTTCAAAGTGGCAAATCAAAATGACGCTCTTTCGCCGCTCAAAATACTTCTACCGAGGAACACGTAATTCGCACGTACCATGAGACGTAGGTTTTCAATAAAACTATCGAAAGTTCTCCATTGTTGTGTATATGTGTGTGTATGTGTGTGTACGAGTGTGAGCATGAGAATGTAATCCTCTCACGTTACAAAGCAGGACAAAAAGGACATAAATAATTTCGATATATACACGCGAATAAAGAAATGGATTGTTCGCGTTGATGTCGAGAACTTGCAATGACTCCACGGACACAACACGTCCTGTATACTTTTCTCGCGCACAATCTCTAGCTGGACCCAGCAGCTGCGATTAATCGCCGAGAGCGAGATCAAATACATGTCCCTTCGAAACAGCTTCCTCTCGCACACTCGCAATTGTCTACTTAGAAACAAATTCTCTCGTTACCAGAAGTCCGAGAAGCAGACTCATCATTTAATCGTTCGTCGTCTATGTAACCCCCGTCGGAAAAGCGCGATTTACCAACGCGGTTTCGACGACAACGTCGTCGCAGTTGCTCGTGTCCTCCATGTTTTCGTTCAGATACGTCGGATGTAGGGAGATTTCCCGTCCTTCACACGGCAGGAACATTGTTTGCTCGCGGATTTATCGATTGCGCAGAGATCGTGTTGGATATCAATTACGGACGTGCTTTAACATTATAAACGATGAGCGACTCATTTCTTACCATTTTCACTTTTAATATTCTGTTTCTTGTGCAAAAAACAGGATTGATTTAAATGCCCCATCAGAATAAAGAAGGTATTTCATGAGAAGGGTCAGAAAATTCCAAAATCTTGTTTTTTTACACGAAAAACGGGATATTAATTTAAAAAGACGAAAACGACAAAAAATCACTCGGTGTTGAGCGCTTCTTAGTGAACACCAACTAACAGTAATGCTATAATTTTCCATTCAACGATGCAACTGTTACACAACACTCGCGTTATATTGCATTTACATTGTTGGAAATTGCAACAGTGATATTATGTCATTGATAGTTGATGTTTACTGGGTTTGCAGACGCTACAAGTTTCCAGAAAGGAGTTCAATGTGCATGCGGTCAAAAGAAACGAAATTACATGGTTCTGATGTGACTCGAAATACACGTCATTAACGCAAATTCATATATTCGCGTACACAATCACATTCCGTGTAGAGCTGGAAAATAATTCTTTTCGACCTCGTTGATTGACGAACTTGTCTATCCCGTGCGAAGGTCGAGAACATCTCGCGAGAATCGATCGTCGGCCGAAGAATCGAGCGCTTGCGGCGCGAGCTCGCCGTTTAGCTTACGAAATAGGAACTTTATAGATCGCGATCTTCTCCGCCAAACAAAAGATGAAACGGAAAGTCGATAGAGATTCATTTCGTGAAATTTGCATCGCGAGTTTCGAGTCTTTGAGCTTAAAAATTTTCGAATTCCTTCTTATTCTTCTCTGTTTGACGCGTCTCGATTCTTTTTCTCTCATTTATTTTATTTATTAATTTATTTATTTCACGGCTCAATCCTCCTTTCTTTCGTGATAAGTTAAGAGATCTCAAGAAACCGCGAACTAAGGCACGTAAAATTCCTGTTTAAACCGTATTCGTTATTACTTAATTACGTTCATCACTATTTATGTTAGAGATTATGTCAGAGATCGAAAGAGAGGATAGAGAAACGAACAAATGTAAAAGATTGCACGTATGCGCGCGGATGAGTCGCAATCGACAGAAGTGAATCTCTCTCGACTCGCTTTGAAGTCGATCCGTTTCTTGTCTCGCAGAGTCGTTAGACGAATTATAGTCTGCTGTGTGTGTCGCAGGCCGGCTTCGGTTGCCTATCATTAAGAAAACTAATCAGCGTTTGCGTTATCCCCAAAGTTCGAACGTCCGTGTACGACGGTACTTGGAAGTGACTTTCATCGTGACTTGGATCACTTGTCAGTGTCGTCTTGTTTATAGCACACATATCACAGCATACCTCAACGAGCTTGCATTTGCTAGAATAAGAGTACGGTGTCATCGTGCTTCGAAGTAAGATAAACCACTGTGCATCGACGAGAACGGAAATAATATCGAAACGGGAGAAAAGGCCTGACCGTCCTATAATCAATGCGATACATCGGTGTCTCAAAGAAATTTCTGGGATGGTGCAACCATATGTAGTATCATCGTACATCACGATGGTCACAACGAAACATAACGTAGGTAGATTCTGTTCTAACGTTAACAGAGATAGGCTCGACTTAAGAAAAAGCTGTAAATATCGAAAAATGGGAAAAGCGCTATATATATATATATGTATATATAGCCCACCTCGGAACAGAGAATATGCTTTACAATTACGGAGCACCTGTTGTAAATGGCACTTGCAGCCGTCCTCGATCTCGACAATGGAACGTGGAAGCTTTTCCGATGAAAAATCAGTTTCCGATAATAATAATACTTACAGCTTTCTTACATGTGGTCTATTAATGTAAGTGAAATTCAACGGAACGGTGTTGCCAAAGGAAGGATCACGCGTGTACGAATCCCAACGGGCTTCCCGATTAGAAGCCCAGGAATACGGTAGTAGATATTTAATCCCTGAATCTCGCGCAGGAATGCTTGTAACCGAAGCTGACGATTATGTCTATAACGAGGTAAATGAACATGGTGTGTCATTACTAATACAATATATATATATATATATATATATATATATATATATATATATATATATATATATATATATATTAACTCTTATACGTGTATATAAATTAAAAACTAGTATCGCCTTGTGGAATACCTCCTCCGAAATAATCGAGCGAATGAAGCGCAGTGGTAGAGACCCAAGTCACACGCTTGTAACGACAGAGAGATAAAGGCCTGAGAGATTAATAGCCGTTACTTGAAATTTGTACCACGTGAGATACTCAGACGAGTTTAAAATCAGATTAAAGTTTTTTTTATTTGAATCATGTAACATATACGAGACACTAGTAATTGCGATTCAGCTGAAAAACTCACATCTAATTCCAAGTTTAGATTTGAGTATCTCACTTGAGGCAAGTTTCAAGTAACGATTGTTAATATGAATCTTAGGCGGAGATGAAAAGATCGGTTAACGAGAAAAAAAGGAAATTTCTATTCAGGAATGTGTTTTATGTACCTTTTATATACCTTCGCGGCCACGCGAGATCCCTAGACTATCCTTTCGCTTTTTTTCCAAAATCGACGTCTTGTGGCTTAGATCTATGTAAAATTCAACGCTTCAGGTAATCAGGATGGCGCACAGACTCGTGTCCGGCTCAGCGAAACTTGCTTTGGAATGGTGTAATCGTATCCGTCACGATCAGAGACGTACACACATGTACACAGATAGCTTCTGACTCGGATCTCTTTAGGGGAAGAAGCGCGCGTAACACCGCCGTCACGACGAGTATCGAGGAGGAAAGTAAGAGGAAGAGGAAACGATATCCACCGGAAGAGCGGCTTACTAAACGAAAGCACTGTATGTGTGTATGTGTGTGTCTGTGTCTTTAAGCGTTAAGCTGCGCGTGAACCGCGGCTCGCAAAGTGTAGGCGATTCGAATAAGATCTTGCAGGAATTCGTGTCGCCGAGTGTCCAACCACTAATCTTCACAGCCGGGCACTGCGCTTTACTACAACATTCACTTTACTCACGCGCGGTCAAACGGTCAGGAATAAAGGAGGAGATTCTCTTCCACGCGGGAGGAAAGAGTTTCCTCTCTATTTACACTCTTGGTACACTTTCGTACGCGTTTATACCTTGACCTATAGACTATGTTTACACAGTAGCCTAAAGTTAGACCTTAATCTGAGTTTAAGTCTTTCAAGTGACTCAAGTCAAGGCTCATCGACGTTGGTCATTAATAACATTCGTACAGATAACGCAGTCTACACGAGCGGTATGAAATCGATTTGACTGTTCTCGATGTTGTGACTACCAGTGTCACGTGTCTTACAGTACAGCTATAACATGAATGTTTATACGACACGTAGCACCGATGATTGCACAACGTCGGTAACTGTTGAACCAATTTTATACTGTTCATATAAACGTAGATCACGTGCGTTATTAAACTAGATTTAGATTGCCGTGCAAACGTAGTCACATGCTCGGAGGACGACTCGTTAGTTTCGCAGTTGGAGTCAACTCCCGACTTCCAAGATCAGCCGGTGGGCCTCTCGACGAACGTATTCTCTTCGGTCGATTCGTCTACTTCTCGACTGACGAGCGACGACGTCGTCGAGCTCGAGTCGCTCGCTTAAACCGTACCGGAGTAACTCTCGCTCGGCCACACGTAATACAGATGACGTCGGCGTGCATACGTCGCCTGGAACTGCATCTCGGACGCCTGCGACGACGACGACTGTAGCTCCCGGTGATCCCGTGGCTCGACCTCGGTGTCTGCTTCTGGCTATACTATGGTACCGCCGCCTTCCGCCGGACTGACCACGTGGAGAGCGCCGCCGACCTGGCCGATTCCCGGCTGAAATCGCAAATGGTATCAATCTCATGCTGCGACAATGCGTTAATCAATCGCGCTTCTGATCCGGCGTGAGTCGTAAACGTATACCACGCTATTCCCGAAAAGTTCACGCGCAACGTAGTGGTAGCGGTACTCTCCTCCCTCCCAATCGTTCCCGCAAACTTTTCGGGAACAACGCGAGTCTGTGCGAATGCAAAGGTGCGTTGCGGGCAAACGAACGAGTAAATGTATGTGCAAATTCGTGATGTGTGAATTCAGAAGCGAAACAAGATTGTTGCGTGAAACAAATCGGCCGTGTACTATTCTCTACTCGTGACGAAGACCGAGTACAAGCCACAAATGAAGCAAAATAGAACGAAAAAATGATAAGTCATACGTACCATGCGATAACTCAGGGAAGTCTCATCCACGATACTCTCTTGCATCAGCCAAAGCGTGGTACAGAACATTAATCTTTCCGATCGATCAAAGTGAGAAAAAAGAATTAATGCTTCGTCGGCTTTAAGAAATAAGCGCAAGCATTATTACCGATTAAAATGAATGACAAAAAAAAATGAATGGAAAAAGAAATTTTCGCGCTATAATAAAGGAAGCAACGCACGCTACGCGTCACCAATTTCTTTTATCACGAGCTCTATAAATAATCAGCTATTCACAGTGTTGGCCAAAAAGTATGGGCGAAATCTCGTCGAAGTAAGTCTAACTAAATCAGTACAGTATTGAGCTGCCGAGGATATTAGAATCGACAGGAGTTGTTTCGGTCAAAGCAGCTTCCTCGAGTATTTGGTTGACGTTTCCACGATATTACAACTATCTGCTGTAATATGAATTTGCGAAGAAAACGTCGACCACGTATACTTGATGGAGACCCGTTGAAGTTGCTTCATACTTTTGGTCAAAGCTGTGAAACGGAGGAGTGAGCGTGGAGTACCTTCGTTCGTGACAACAAATGCTCTATGCAAAACGCCGGGAGATACAATTCGAATCCGGCATGGGATCTGTTGTCGTCGAAAATAGAATATAAAAAACAAAAAAAAAGAAGAAACGACATGCTACTACGTACGAGTAAAAATTGATCAAATAAACAAATAAACTGTCTGACGCGCGATTACATACACTTATGTACAGACGCGTTTCTCTTTGAAGAAGAGGGACAACTACGCGAGTCTCCCCCTGGAGCTTCTGCATCGCACTCGGCGAAATCTCAAGCGGAAAGCAAGCAGCGATCTCTTTCTCTCTTTTTCTCTTGTTCGTTCAAATTTTTTGCTTTATTGTACAATAAGGCGATTCGTCGTTTTCAACAAAGAATTTCAATGTTCTCGCATTAATTATATATCGTAGGTCTGGAACGACAGTTTGGCTACGTAATTCGTTGACTCTCTATGTTTGGCTAAAGCTAACAACATTTTACACGAAATAGAAAGAGGATTTCAATAAGAGGGGCCTGCCCTGTCACGAGACCTCATAAAGGCTCAAACAACATTGCTCTCGAGGAGATGCAAACCAAAAACATGTATATATCGTATTCGTATACCTATGCTCTATAACGCGTACGTTTTTGCAATGTTTATCGCATGTATATCTTGACCAGACGATTAGGCACAGATATTAACGACAGCCTATATCATGAATGAATCTTGATAAGCGAACACGCGAGTGTTTCTTGTTTAACGCATGCACTATGCAACCACGTACTAGAAGTTGATGATACCTAGATAGTAGATAAGTTAAAGCTCGTCCGTTTCTTTTTTCTTTTTCAGAAAAACGCAATTCTGTTTGCTTGTGTGTGTATATATATACACACGTGTATATATTTGTGTGTTTGTTATGTACACATGTTTATTATCCATGTGTGTGTGTGTGTGTGTGTGTGTGTGTGGGAGAAACAAAAATATCATAACATGTGCGCGTTCTACCCAACTAATTTAACATAAAATCGAACTTCATGCACTTCAGGTAAATCCGAGAACGTCGTAATTTTACCGACCTAATGGAATGTCCTGAGCAAAAGGCAACGTTATTCGCGCAAATTGCAAGTTTATTATCATTGTCATACGATAAACGAAAGATCAACAGGCATCTCACGTTATGAATACCGTATGAGATTGTCTTCTCAATTGTTACGAGTTCCCTGACGTTAATTTATAGTTTCCTCAGGTCAGCGTTCGAGATCACTCGCACTTTTTGGAAACAATGTCTACCGTCTCCTCGTCGACGCGAATCCACACACGAAACCAGACGTTCAATGCGAGATAGAACATCGTGCGAGGGAGACGGTAGACGCGATATCTATATCGACGCCTCTCGAAAGCGTTCGAGCAATTTCGTGTACTGCCTCAGGCCGCAGACTCGTTGTTCACTCATAGTATCGTCCGTCCGCGTTTTTCTCTCTGCTAATTCCTAATATAATACAAAGATTCGGCAAAAATACTATAAAAAAAAAACAACAAAAAGATCCTTAATGCTCTTTCTCTCTGTGTTGATGGCACCTCCCAATACTAAAAGAACTCAAACGCAAATGTATACTCTATAGTCATAGACTGACACGCGAGTAAAAGGGTTCTCTACAAGAGATTAGATATACCGATTGTAGCGTAAACTGAAACAACAGCAACGCGATCTTCTCGTGCTATACACCAAGGCAATGTCGAATTCGTCACAGTCTGTCTCCCGTAATACTTTAGAGCCGGAACGGTCGTTCGTCTCTAACGACGAATTCTTCCACGTCAGACAGTAAGAGAGAGAGAGAGAGGACTATCCGATAAGAGGAGGACATGAGCACACGGGATCAGATACTTCTCCGTGGCGAGTTGTCTAACTCGATGTACGTGGTATGTACAGAGTCGGATCACGCGGAAAAACTAACGGACTCTACTCGATCGAGTTGCAACAACGTCGATCGGGCACGACGGGTTACATCAGAGATCGTTCGGTCGCAGGGAATTCATATTTGTGTAAGGGCTGTTGCTATGATGATGGTGTGGCCTGTGCAGAGTGCTGCTTATCGTGAGAGGACCTACCATGTGGCCGGGCCTCGCCCACGTGTACACGTATCCGTCTTGACACGCTGTCACGAAGCAATCTTCCCTAAACACTAACTCGGTCAGTCTCTCGTGCGCCAGTTTCTTGCACACCAGCGGCTCGAGGACCGGACACTCGTCGAACCTGGGACACCAGGCGGTCCCTATCAATCTCATGGGATCGTCCATCACGGAACTAACCTTCTTATTTGCCCCACCTACTAAACCCGCCCCACCGACACTGTTCAGACTACTACTCGCGTTCGCGTTGTTGCTCGTGGTCTTGTCGCCACCACTGTTCTGCACGATCGTGCTGTTGGCCGTCGCCGCCGTGGCCGTACCGGTCGCGCCTCGCATAGTGAGGCTAAAGTTTCTCTTGTGATTATCACCCTTACGCTCGCCAAAACCAAGACCCGCTAGCCTCTGCGTCAGCGAGTTCACCGTTGCCACCGCGGCGTTGGTGCTCGTACTATTGTTACTAGTCTCGTTATTACCACTCACGCTCTCCTTGGAGTTTACGTTATTCGAGTTATTGTGTTTAGCATTGTTCGAGTGATGGTTCGCCGTCGTCGCCGCTGCCGTCGTTGCCGTCCCCGTCCCCGTCGCCGTCGCCGTCGTCGTACCGTTGCCGCTGTTGAACGTGCCGGAAGCGGACAAGGCGCCGCTGCCGCCGGCCACCGACGGCCTCTGCTTGGCGCACACCGGCTGTCTCAACACGTCCTCCGTGATGTCCCACAGGCACAGCTGGGTGTCCTGAGACACGCTACCCAGCCTGTAGCACGTGCCGCCCGACATCCTCAGTTCGGAGCTGCAGGAATTCCGATTCGAGTGCACGCCACCGCTCTGCGAAGTCGTGGACAGGCGGTTCGACTTCTCGTGAAAGTGATTGTGGTTGTTGTGGGGCATCGTCTCATCGTCCGAGCCGCTGAAGTCGGGATCGTGGTCCCCGTACGACGTGGTGTACGGATCAAAGGCGACAACGCTCACCCAACTGTGGTGACCTTGTCCCCGCGCCACCACGCGCTTCTCGTGGAAGCTCCAGATAGTCACCAGGTCGTCCTCACCGCCAACTACCACGTAACGTCCGTCTGGCGACCAGCATACGCACAAAAAGCCGCCGAAGTAGCTCCTCGCCGAACCGACTAGTTCCATGGTATTGTATTGGAACACGCGTAGAAATCCATCCTGAGACACTACAGCCAAGTTCGTGCCGCATGGACTGAAGGCAAATTCGTTTATACAACAACCCTCTGCGCCGATCACCCACCGATACAGAGGGTTCCTAGTGGATTTGGTCTTGCAGGTGTATATAGCGTATCCGTCCCCCGACTTGAACGATTGATAGTGCGGCGCGGTAGTGCCACAGAGAAGCTCCTCGTTATAGAGGTACAGTTGACCCGAGCTGTGGGACACCAGGAATAGGTTGTTCGAGCCGGGAACCCATTTTATGCACGTCACTTTGCTTTTGTCGATCAGCCTCTGAAATTACAAATGTTTCTTATTAAAAACCTTCTGGAAAACCTACTCTCTCTTTCTTTCTCTTTCGTGTCCTGATATATTAATATTGCCGGATTAATTTATTATTTACTCTTTAATTTCTATTCTTATTAACCTTCCATTTAAAAATTTACACGGAAAGAAGTGTCCCACTTCGATAATAATTTTGTTAGAATTTCGTTAGTAGCTCGTCTGAGTGCATTCATATTTAAAACAGACGGCACGATTGTCCCAGCGACAGCACATTCCGTGACTGTCGCGGGATGATGGTGCAAAGTTATGTAATATTGCTCGTTGAACCTAATTATTCGATTGAGTTATAATTGCATTAGCGTGGGCCCACCGGCGCAGACTACCCTATACGACGCCATTAAATATTTGCCGTAAGCATGCGGGATGCGATGAATAGCGTTAAACACTAATGCTTGACTACTATTAATTTCCCGCTTTATCATGTTTCAATAAGATAACACTCGTATCGCGACTCGAGTCACTGGATGACTGCTAGCAATATCATGCGTATCTCTAGGAAACTATGGTGACATATTGTCAGCGCGGAGAGCACAGTGTTTGATCTATTAGATTACTTTTTATCTCTCCATAAACTAGTTCTCACAGATAATGTGAAAAGTCGCGAAATTTTCTCGGAATTAGCTCTAGCGTGCTATCATTAAAAAAAAAAGGGTTTTACTGGTCCAGATAGAATTCCAAGTGTCACAGTTAAAATTTATCGTTGTTGCTTGTATCTCGTTATAAAATTGTCTGTGGTATGTAGAATTTATAGCAACAGCATTCTAGTAATATCTACAAGCACAGATTTAAGTGGCTATGAGGATTATACATTTGTTAATCTTTCGTTGCTAGTCTATTTTGCTTGTTATAGTCAATTTTTTTAGAAAGCGCGACTCTCTAGCTTCTAATCTGGATGAATGATATAGAGAAACTTTCTTGCTAAATTTCACAAAATAATTCAGATAAAAATTCTGTTTCCATTACGTGCATTAATAGAACAAAAATATAAAACACGCAACATCGCAGTGACTGCAGGATCATTTTTTTTAAGTGCAAGGCCAGATTCTGTCAGGGACAAAACGTATGAAAGAAACTCATAATTTGCGTTAGATTCATTTTTACATACATCTTCATTGTACAACTTGCTGAGTTCCTTCTTTATTGGATCAATCAGCTGTATCTGCCCGGTGGAAAATCCTACCAGCAATGGAGCACTATCTGCTGTCGCTGTAGTTTGATTGAAATTGTGACAGGTTGGATTGGTACCTTTGTATAATTTTTTGTCCACTGGTTTGTTCAAGTCCACAGCCTGAAATATTTTAACGATGCAACAGTCTGCTTCTCTAGGAAAAATTAAACAAAATCTAATTTGTCTGTTTTAATTTTACTTAAAAAGATTAACCAAGCAAGATAATTGTTTCTCTCTCTCTCTCTCTCTCTCTCTCTCTCTCTCTCTCTCTCTCTCTCTTTCTCTCCATCTCTTTGTGACTTGTCACAGATATAAAAACGTTTCCTAGAACAATGTACAATTCTCTAAAAGGACCTTTGTAACGCGTGGATGAGTAACAAGCTGTACAGCTATCAAGGATTTTTAACTTGCTACCAGCATATATGACGCATCTCTCACGAGAGACCAACGTCACATACGTCAGCAATAATTTATCATTCCACATACACTTAAACAAATTAAGCCTGCTTTACACCGTTGCGTAAATAAAATACTAAATGGTCCCGAATGAGTGGTTATGTAGCGAACGTGTTATTAATTCTCACGTGTACAAGATGTTACGAACACGAGAGACGCAACAACATTACTCATTCACATAAGCTGCGAGGTGACTATGATTACGAGGAAGTATTCGCAGCACTTCTGAAAAAACGCCATATCGACGTTTCTCCGCGTAACAGAGTCGCGGCGATAACTGGCGCGCGCGTGATCGACCCCGTTGTCGACGTTTCACGTACGCCGTCGCGGAGACGATGTTCTCGTGCAAGGCGTGGTAACGAGCTGCAAAGATGGAGTCTTCACAGCGGCACTTGTGCCAACTGAGAGAGAGAGAGAGAGAGAGAGAGAGAGAGAGAGAGAGAGAGAGAGAGAG